CCACTTTGTTTCACTCTTAGCCATGCACCAAAGAAAAAGGAAAACATGTCATCAAATATATTTGTACACAAACGTTTACAGCAGCCTTGTTCATAAGACTTGCCAAGAACTGGAAGCAACCCAAGTGTCCATCGATAGGAGAATGGGTACACAAATTGTGGTTTACTTATAGAATGGCATAATAGTCGGGCACAAAGGACAAACTGATTCAACAAGAAGGATGGATTTTAAAAATATTATGTTAAAAGTAAAGAAGCCAGCCACTAAATTAGAATATTTTCTGTATGATTCCATGTGTGTGAAATACAAGAACCAAACTGGTGGCAGAAATCAGAAGCTGGGTGCCCAGGGAAGGGGAGAGAGAATTGAATGGGAAGATAGACAAGTGAACTTTCAGGGCTGAAATATTCACCATTTAGGTAGTGGTTACATGAGGATATACAAATTAGTAAAATTCATTTCATCTCTATGGCTTAATTATACAAATAAATGCCTAGAATTAAGAAAAGAAAACCTCCTACAAAGTTGAATGGACTCATCTAGATTTGTTCTGACTCAGGGAAAAGGGCCCTGATTCAATGCCCCAAGAAAACACTATGGAATACAAAAGAGTTGGTTATAAAAGAAAAATGTTTCTACTCACAAGAAAGCTCCAGCATTTATTAGCTATGTGATGAGGTGTGAGAGCTAGCCTTCTATTCTTTACCTCCCACAATGAGATAAATACCCACTAGGCTGGCTATAATAAAAACACGCCAGACAATGACAATGTTGACAACGATGTAGAGAAAGAGAAGTGGCATGCACTGCTGGTGAGAATGGCCAAGGGCACAGGGCACAGGGACTTTGGGAGACAGGCTGGCAGGCCCTCCAAAGTTAAAACATAGTTACTATGTGACCCAGGGGTTCCAATTTTAGGTCTATCTACCCAAGAGGAATAAAAACATGTTCACAGAAAACCTAGACAATGAATGTTCATGGCTGTGCTATTTCAACAGCCCAAAGAGGAGCGCATGCCAGATGTGCATCACGGGTAGATTCTTCTAATGTAGTAGAGGCAGCCCTATTCCTAAACCTGCACACAGGTTAGCTTCATATCTAACGTCACTCAAAGGTTGGTCTTAGTCGATAGTGAATCTTTCTATGCGTTAGAAAACATTCTCCAGTACACTCTTTAACAAAAAAGGAAGAAGAAGAATGCTTTGGTGCACACTGCAAAGTAGTGCCCGTTTCTTATTATAAACCAATGCCTAGATTTTGCATTTTTAATAAAATTGGCTTTACAGGGATTGGTTCATAACTACAGGTTGTATCTAAGTCAGACGATCATAACCCGGGAACTGCCTGATATCCATGTGTCTATAAAAAATGACGTACTGGCTGGCACATGCCGCAACACGGATGATCCCTGAAAGCAGTCAGCTGAGCAGCAGAAGCTGTTTATGAAAGGCCACATGTGGCACAGTAACATTTCTGTGAAATGCTCAGAATAGGCACGTCTACAGAGACAGGCAGCACATTAGCGGAGGATGAAGCTAGAGAGAGAAGTGGGAATAACAGCTAACGGGTACTGGGGTTTGGGATGAAATTTTGATGAAAATGTCCTCAAATGGATCGTGGTGATCACGGAAGACTCTGAAATGTGCTGAAAAGCACTGAACTCTACACCTCAGATGCGAGGCCGGCGTGGCCCGGGAGCTCTGTCTGGAAACTCTGAAGCAGAGCTGGTCCTCCATGAATGAAAGCATGGACAGGCGGTGGGATGAATGGATGGAAACACACACCAAGTATGACGGCAGCGATTTAAATCTCACCCTTGTCGGGTCCCTGCTGAAGCATCTTCAAGCACAACTGGCACTACTAATGAGACAATGCCTATAAAGGAGTGTCCAATATGAGACACTCAAGGAATTGTCATGACATGGCAATGAATGATAATCATAAGCTAAACACATATCTTCTTTGGGGCTGTGTTGAAATGAAGCAAATCAAGATAAGGAATTCTGCTTTCAAATCACCACCATGAAATATGACCAGATTGGAGTTTTCTTGGAGGATTATTCCGAGCCACAATTTTTTCCTGTGAAATGTGAACATAGTCTAAGTCTGGTTTCTGACAGGAAGGGACGAACTCCAAGTAGGTCTCAGTGGTGACAGCCAGCTTTCTGCAGGCAGGACACCCCACACGCTCATTAGGCACCTAGCAGGTTGCTTCTGGTAGATCCTAGCAGATCGGACACCGGGCGACGCCCCGTGGAACCGTGCTCCATCAGGTTCTCCAGGCTGGGACCTTTGGGAGGCAGATTGCCAGGCACGTCTACTGCCGCACCTCGCGGTGGATTCGAACCTCCAACCTTCCAGCTAGTAGTAGAGCGCTCAACCATGTGTACCTCTAAGCAGACTGGGATGACATCAACAGCAAACGCCAGTCAATGGTAGTAGGTTTAATTTAGCTGGCTAGCAGGTCCATGGATAATCATTATTACTCTTTTAAAGCTATTCCGATGTGCTGTCTCTTGCATGCATCCAGTATCATATATTTTAAGAAACAAAGCATGTAAATAACAAAGCAAAACAAGCAACAAAAACCAGTAATGCCTAAAGGCCAGAGATTTTTATTTCTTGGCCATTTTATGATCTCAGCAGTGGACATCATCCTTCTGAAAGGGCAATGCAGTCATTTCCACAGGGTGGGACCCAGAGATCTTCCTCCCTCGTAAAGAAAACGAATGCTCCTGATCCCAGCTCGTCTGGCTCCTGGGTACAAACATGGGAAGCCAATCCTGCCCACGCCGCAGCCGTCGCCATTTCTTGCTAATTAACCTGCTTTGGGTGAATGCGTCTGGTTCCTCTTTGAAAGTGGGCACTACGGGAAGAGCGGCAGCTCTCTTCTCAGCTGGTGGCCCTGGCAGCATCCTGTCAGACCCCCACGGGGACATAGTACTGCACCGCAGCCAACGAGGATGAGGAGAGGTCTCATGCGTGGGATAAGGCAGCCACTCTTCCAAAGGTTGACCAGTGACTGCTTACCAAGTATCATCCATTAAAAAAAATTTTTTTAAAGATGTTCCTGTATCCCTCAGGGCTCAACTGTCTATAAATAGATTACTCCTTTGTGTTGAACTACATCCTCTTTGGGGAGCTTTAACAAAAGTAGGAGTAAGCTGTCACAATCATTTACACCGTAGTGTGATTCTAGTCATCTGCAGAAAAGCAGTAGTAAGTGTACATTTTTCTTTCCTCTCTTGAACTACCTGATTTAAAGGGGAAGGAAGAAAATTATTCAGCCTAGAGCCCAACCTGGCTATTTTTCATGCTGTCAGTTCCCAGCCAGACAACCCATCAAAGCTCCCCGAAATGAGTCATGACTAAGGAAGGGATTTAGTGTGTCAGCACACCCCTTGAGGCACCTGACTTCAATAGAAATCACCACAGTTCAAACCTATCAGCAGGTATGTTCCACCCATACGTAGGTGGAACAAGGAAGGAATATCTGATGGTATTTTAACCACGTAGGTCACATGTCAGCCATGAGAACTGGTCAATCTTGTGGGCCAAGCCATCAGGATATCACAATGGAAGCAGAAATAATTGGTTACTTGAAACAAAAAGGGCATGACTTAACAGAGGCCTGAAAAACGCACTCGTGCGCTGTGGTAAAACTGAGGTAGGAAATTTCCCAGCCAAATGGAAATTAAAAACCACTGAGAAAAACATGCACAATATGCAGAGCTCTCCCATCAGAAGAAAACAATTGAAGCATCTGAGAAAGGAAATTATATTTTTGGTGAGCCGCCCAAGCAAAGGTCTAATTCTATGCCCACTATTTGTCCATCGCAAATCAAAACACACACACACACACAAACCACCCACCCCCCACCCCCTAGCCCCCTCTCCCACAAGAACTCTGGTTGCAGACAGGTGACGACCAAGGTATGTGCCTTGCTGACAAATCTCATCCCGCAGAACCTGAAGCAGCCTCTCTCTGGCCCCCAGGGCATCTTCCCTGAATTAAGAGCCGAAAAGGTCATCCACCTCATCACCTCGGGTTCCACAACCCAAAGAGGGGGATTTCAGTCAAACCTGCCAGCCAATTCAACTGGAAGTTATTCACATTTTCAGGAATAAATGGACGAGAATGGTCTTGAAAAACTCCTATCTTACCAGATGTGAAATGCATACCACCAATAAAACCACTGGGGCTGCAAACCTAGATTTGAAAATTGACTTTACTATCGTGCTCACACTTTAAAGATCGGGGTCTTGTGTTTATAGTATACATAATCTGAATCTCTGCATCCATTTGTTTTGTCAGTGGCCCTAACATAGTTAAAGATGTTGGACATCCCCTTCTGTCCCTGAGAGAGCAAAAGTATAATTACACCACAATGTGTCACCTGTTCCTACACTTGAACTAAAGCCACTGCCATCGAGTCGATTCAGACTCAGTGACCCTAGAGGGCAGAGTAGAACTGCTTCGGTGGATTTCCCAGAGCCTCCTTTTTCTGCTGTGGAGCAGCAGGTGAGTCTGAACAGCTGACCTTGTGGCTAGCAGCCCAACACGTAACTCATTAAACCACCCGGTCTCCTTCCTGAAATATCATGGCCTAGCTAATCTGTCATTTCACAGGTGTTTTAAAGCTCCAGTCAATATACATGCAATGTAACTCCATGTACGGCACTCTAACCTCTGTGCTACTGTAACTTAAGATGAATCAAAATGAGAATTTTAAAAAGGGGGGGAGAAAACCTCACTCCTTATGCTTCAGGAATGCCAAGTGAACAGATGGAGAAAGATACTACCTCTTTTTTTGCACTGTAAATCAGTCCAATTATACACTAGAGATGTAAAAATGATTCCATACGAGCATCTGATTCCTCACACAGAATTCCTTGACTTCAGGGGAGACATCACATATATGTCCTCTGTAACATGCGGCAAGGTTAAAGGAGTCTGCTGGCCTTTCCATTGAAGAGAAGGGCCTAGCGTTCATACTTACACAACCTCCGGCCAGGATTTCTGCGAAAAGTGGAATGGATCCATCTCTGGTAGTAAACTTGTCCCGGACAAAATCGTTCACCTAATTAGAAGGACAACTTTGGTTAACCCGAGATGCCCAACCATCTCCTCTATTGCATGTTTGCTGGGCTAAGCCAGTACAACACACCAGTCCCATTACAAATTACAAATGGCAACATCTACGTATCAACGTGAAGGCCAGACGCAGCAGCAGCAGCAGTGTTTCCTTGAATGAATGATCATCTACTCCAATGGCGTTGATTTGAGAAAGAAACTTACGGTCAATTTAATGGCCTTTTCTGGAGCAACCCCGATCAGCTGTGGTATCAGACCTACGTAAAGAAAGAGACCGTGAACAATACAGAGGCACGAGACAGGACATGAAGCCCAGTTGCCCATCAGACATTTTTCGTTTTCAGTAAAATAGGGAAAATTGGATTATCCTAACAACTCTGTAAATGTGTGTCATAACAATTTATGAGCCAAGGATAATATCATGTTTCCTTGGGGGGGCTATAAACCCTTTCCTTAAGTATGCTTCCATCAAAGCCTAGCTGACCAAATGCCTCCAAACAAAGTTCTCGAGGAAGAAATGGAGCCTTGGGTCTTCTGCACCTGGGGGAGGGGGTGGAGGGCCACTGGCAACAGCATGGAAAAAGCCCCTCCCTTACCACAGCCAGCACCGCACAAACATGGGCCCTTCGGAGAGGTCCTGGTAAATAGACCCAGACTCTGCCGCAAACGACATGCCGCAAAGCTATGTAACAGCACACAGGGGCTTGATTAGGACCAACTATCAACTCATCATTTTCTCCTTAGAGAAACCCCAGAATTCAGGACTCAGCTTGTTAAAAGGAAGCCAAAACAGCATAGGAAAAAAAAATCCCGTGTTAAGTATCAGCTAAGGAGCAACCTCTCTGTAAGCAAAAGCACAGGCCTGTTGTTTTCTTCCTTACTAAACAGATGTCAAACTGAAAGGAGATTTTAGATGGATCTCCTCAAACCAGGGGAAATCATTCTACTCCGAAAGTCCAATTTCCCAGGCTGACTGCACACTGGATAAGAAAAAATATATATATAAACAACTCGACATCTGTAGATATTCACAGGGCTCAGCTTTCAAAAACACACAGCTTATCCAAATTGTCAGCATACATTTTTTTAAGGAGGCTAGCGAGGAATGTTTTGTATCCCTTAAATCATCCAGCCAAGGGGGAGTTATGTGTGTGGTAGTGTGCTCGATGCCGATCTTAAGCCGACTTTGAGGACGCTGCTGAGTGATTTCCATGGGTTGAGAGCCAGCAAGTAATTGTCCATGCAGGCTACTGCCAGTCAAACTGAATTATCAATGACAAACACACACACTGCACACACCTTTAAAGGGGAGCAGGCTGATTTAAAAGAACAAATCAGCAGATGGCAGTCTTAACTTTCTAACCTTCGCGATTACCAGGCTCTATTACTTTTCATCAAACTCCCACGCACCCGTGCCAGCCTGTGTACCTGCTTCACAACTTGGATCATAGAATTTTAATAAAGCACTGACTTGTGTCACTTCATCATCTTATTGTTACCTGCGAAGAAATTTAGGCTAATCTGTCAATAATTTTGTCAATCACCTGACAGAATAATAGTTCAGTTCTAAGCACTATATGACATGTGCTGTAGTCACAGTGTTCACATACAAGGCTCCTACAATCTTCTCCCTAATACAAAAATACTTTCACTTAAAGGACTGATTTTATCAGCGCATGCCTGAAGACAGCCCGCAATCCTTCCCGCTTCCTACAGTGGACTCGTTTAATTAGCAGGGCATCTCTCCCGAATGAAGGCCACCACACGCAGCCATCCAGCTACGAAGGCGAAGCTGGACCGTATCGGAGGTTTCTTCTTTGCCTTTAGAACCACACATTATGTTAGAAGACAACGTAATCGGCAAAGGAAACCTGCAGGGCGTAGAGGGGAAAAACAAAAAACCGCCTCATTGTCATCCAACGCTCGGGCTCCCCCATTAAACATAATCGAGACAGGTAAGAGTCTGTCTGGGGCCAATGTGCCCCCTGCCCCGCGGAGCACGTGTACAGGTGGAAGGGACCGAGACAAGCACGCCAGACATTTGTCCCAAGCGAGTCACGCGGTTTCTCAGGAGCAGGGTAGTGGAGGCTTGGAAACAATTTTCCTCTCTTAGTCCATAGGCAATGTCACAAAATCATCCTGACGACCCTGCTATTCAACCATGAGGGTGTCAGGGTTACACTTGTCACACTACGAGCAGCACAGAACATGAGCCAGCGGCCTGTCTCCTCCAACCCAGGAGCATAAAGCTCGGTTCCGCGCCAGTCCCCGGCGAAGCCCCGTCCTTCTTTCCGAGGAGAAGGTTTGCAGGCGCCCAGTTCAACCGAGCTGAGAAGGGGCTGGGGATTCATGGGCCTGTGCGTGCAAACAAACAAGTACAGTAAGTTACAGAAATGCCCTGGACTGGAGCGTGCACTGGGTGTTTTCAAAGAATTCCAAGTGGCGCCCAAAGGGATTAAAAAATGAATCTCCCTCCCCAAGGAAACCCTAAATTCTAACGCGAAACAGGCACATGAAAGCCATTCCCTCGCCAAAGAGAACAAGTCCCTACAGAGCCGAGGGGGCGGGGAGAATGCAGCCGGGACGAAAGCCCTGGAGGCTGGCAGTTCAGTGCTGGCTCCAGGGAGCGCCCTGCTCCCCACACAAGCGGATGGATGGCTCCGCACCGCCTCCATGCCCCTGAGCTCCGGGGAGGACAGGAGCCAGGAGCCAAAGGGTTTTCTTTTCTTTCCTGAAGCCTTAGATGACTCACTGAGAAAGACTGCTGCCTGGTCTCCTTGGAAAAGACACAAAGATGATTTTGTTGCCGCTGTTACTGCTTTCCGTGCAAACAAGTGGCGAGAGGGTTAGCGCAACTTCAAGCGGCAGCCTGGCTTTCTGGCTCACCAAGAAGAGCTGGGTCCCTCGGGTATTAGGGAACACGGCTTTCTGATTCTCAGCTGTCACCATTCCAGTCTGCCTGCAAACACGTGCCCTAGTCTAGACAAGGGCTCACAGAGCCCTGCTGGGACCAAGAGAACCCTATTTTGGGGGTCCAAGAACAAGAGGTGGCAGGAAGAAGAAACAAAGGCCTGGTTTGAAAACTCCGAGTGCTAGTCACCAGCAAGACTGGCAAACGGGAAAGGTGCGGGGATTTGGGGCGGGGAGGAAGCGCTAGTCTGAGCAGGCTGCACACTGGTTTCGGAAGGAGCCCGTTCACGTCGGCTGGTGGGGAGCGCAAATCTCTCAAGGTCAGCAGCTGAGATTTGCGTACGTACTCACCTCGGTAGAGTCCAAAGAAGCCCTCATAACGCAAGACCTTCTTAAAACAGTCGAAGCTGTTTTTGTACATCAGCTCCCCGACCACGGAGCCGGTGCCACGCTGGTTCTGCATGCGGGTCTTCACCAGATCGATAGGGTACACTGCCGTGGCTCCCACAGCTTTGAAGAGAAGAGTGGAGTACAATCAAAGGGAGAGGCCAGAAGGCAAAGGCATGGCATCCCAGAGGGCTCCAGAGTAAAGACACAGTACCTTTTCTCACAAAAGACACTTTATAGTCTTATTTTTCCTTCTTCCCCACTGAGCGGAGGGATGACAGGCCAGACACCATTAGGACTCGTAAACAGAGCTGTTTCGGGGGTAACTAACTGCCAAACATGCTGTTTCGTATCCCCAGGCTTATACATCACGGGGGGCAGGTTATCAAATCATCACCAACACCCAATAATCGACATTGGGTTTTCTATAACATCGACTATTGTATACTAAACATGTTCCCATTCTCCACTGAATGACTAAATACTGGGCCAGGTCCCTCTCAAAATGACTATGTAGAGACTATTCCAGGGAGCTTGGCAAACTTCATGGCAAAGGGAGCTAAAAGATAATAGAATTCTCTCATGAACTTTGTGGAATCCCCTCGTGTGTGGCTGTAATTTTAAATTTTAGTTTACTAAAGCATTTGATAGATTGTTTTTAGATGTAATCATATTGAAGAACAAAGTCAACATTAACCTATTCCTATGTACAGATTTAGAGAAATTTAAAAGGTCATGCTTTAGAATTTCCTAAGAGCTAAAATACTTATTACATGAACTGGAGTATTTTATATATGTGTTTTTCATCTTAAAATCAAAACTGAGACAAAAACAGAACATGAGAGTCTCCTCAGTCCAGGCTTGTTTTGAAAACTCAGAAGTATTTTTAATCACTCCAGAAAGGTTCTTCTTAATAAAGCCAGTTCAGGTCCTACCCATATTCTGCGTCGGATGTTTTAAGAGAGAGACAGGGGGGGCGGGGAAGTAGTTTCTGAAATGTAGGTGGGGCTGAGGGTTCGTTTCAGCATATAAACAAGTCTAAGTATTCTTAAACCTGTGAAAAGAGTGGGGGTGGGGGGGGACAATGAGAAAAGCAAAACAGAATCACGTTGAGAAGCTGCTTTATTTCATGAGGCTCTGGGATTTGCACTCCAAATTTCGATGCCCTCCCTACTTCCCACACCCCCGTGGCCACCACCCCAGCCTGGGCCTCCACGTCTTCGCCTGGCCCTCACTGGTATAATTAAGGTGAGTGAGGCACCGCATCCAAGACTTTCACGTCATTCCGGAGGTTTTGTCCTGAAGACAGACTGGAGCCAGAGGGGCCACCACCGTGCTGTGACAAGCCCTCTGATCACAGGTAAAAATAAAAGAACGCCCGCAGTCATGACCCGCAGGAACAATGCGCTGCACCTCTGCGGATCTGCCCGCTCTGGAGATACAATTACACTCACACAGGCTTGAAGCAGCGTGCACACATGTCACTCACCTCCAGCAACTGAGCCCAGAGTGAATCTGTAGGCAGACTCGGCAATCTGGAGCCAGACGGGCCTGCCGACCCCGTATGATTGCTGTGGGGAAGAGGAGAACAGGTAATAATGGAGAGAAAAAATATATTTTTTAAGGAAAACCAGAAAGCAAATTTTAAAAACTATAATTTGGCTATTTTAAGAAAAAGGAAAACAAAACCTAAGAATGCTGTAGTTAATGAAGTGACATCTTTTCTGAAAGAAAGAAATAAAAAGGGGTGGAGGGGATATCCATCTAGCCCAAAAAGGAAGGGGTGTATTTCAAAATAGATCTCTCTACTATCAGCGTTTAAAAAACAGCCAGCCAGCCAGCCGTCATCACCTTTTCTCTATTTTATAAGCTTGTTTAATAGAGGTGCGCCACTCTTGGGCAGTGTACTATTATTTTACAGAAGAGAATCTTTTAGATACAGGAAGGCTTCAGAAAGTCCCTGGGAAAACAGACCTAAAAGATAATGGAATTTTCCCAGCGACTTTCTGAAGCCCCATCATAGTATCCCAGGTAGAAGGCCTTTCTCCCTCTTTACTGTAGCCAAATTAAATTCAAAAATAGTTCTGAAATGTACAGACTTTATCTTGATTCCTCAACTAGCGAATGTAGACTATAATCGTGCATCTCTAATGATATTATACCCATCAGTTGCTGAATCAAGAGCAAAGACAGCTGTTTTGTTAGCCTCTCTCATCCCAAAGCTGTGGCTCCTTTTACCAACAGCCTTCCTAGTTTGACTTGTTCTACCTCTCATCTATTTAAAAACCAAAACAACAACAACAACAACACAAACAGCTGCTATCAAGTCAATTCTCACCCACGGGGACCCAATTTGTGTCTGAGTAGAACACCAGGGTTTTCTTTTTTTTTTTAATCATTTTATTAGGGGCTCATACAACTCTTATCACAATCCATACATACATCAATTGTGTAAAGCGCATTTGTACATTCATTGCCCTCATCATTCTCAAAACATTTCTTCTCCACTTAAGCCCCCAGCATTAGGTCCTCATTTTTCCCCTCCCTCCCCGCTCCCTCCTCCCTCATGAGCCCTTGATAGTTTATAAATTATTATTTTGTCATATCTTGCCCTGTCCGACGTCTCCCTTCACCCACTTTTTGGTTGTCCGCCCCCCAGGGCGGAGGTCACATATAGATCCTTGTAATCGGTTCCTTCTTTCCAGCCCATCCTCCCTTTACCCTCCCTGTATCGCCACTCACACCACTGGTCCTGAAGGGATCATCTGCCCTGGATGCCCTGTGTTTCCAGTTCCTGTCTGTACCAGTGTACATCCTCTAACACCAGGGTTTTCATAGCTGTGGAAGGACACCTTTTGGAAGGTGGGTCACTTGACAGTACCCCTGAGTGGGTCCCACGCACTGACCTTGGACCAGTGCTTCTGTGCCACCCAGAGACTCCGCTCATCTATCAGGGCCCGAGAAATCACGTCAGTAGGATTGTCATAACTAATTGTAAAGCAAGCTCAAGAGCCTCTCTTTTGGGGCAAATGAAAAACTCAAAACACATGTCAAGGGTTCAGAGCCTTTCGCCCTCCTCTCTGTGTGTGCAGCTCGGCCACTGAGGTCATTGCTGGGTAACGAGGGCGTTTCTGATCCATGGGAGGGCCATTTGAGTTCCTAGGTGTTGGCATGCACTCATTCCTCAGCTGGCGATGAACAGCTCGGCAGTCAGCTGCTAACTAAAAGGTGCGCAGTGCAAACCCACCCCTTGGCTCAGAGGAAAACTTGGCGATCTGTTCCCGTAGAGATTACGCCCTAGAAAACTCTCTGGGGGCAGTTCTGCTCTGTCACATAGCATTTAAGACTTTCATGTGGTTACACAGGTCACCGAGTTGACAATCATTTGGAATCACTTAACAGCTATGCATTCTTCAGTTCTACCTATACAAAGGAATCACCTTCAGGGCTTAAAGAAATAAATCCCTACAGCCTAGACTTAGGTATTTTTAAAAGAGTCCAAAAAGTCCCTCTATTTGGTTAGGGTTGAGAACAACTGTCCAAGCCATGTCCACAGTTCTAACATAAAGTCTACACTCAGACTAAAGCGGACCGGGGACTCCCAGTGCTGTGGCCCAGACATCCCCGAGGCTCCGGGACTTGAAATAATAACCTGTCTATGGGGACATAGCCCTCCTTGTTCTCGACGATTTTCATCGTGAAAATATCTGCTATACTACGTAAATGGTCTGAAACAAAGGAGTAAAATAGTTGCTTTACTTAAAGAAAACTAGAGAAATACTGACTTGAAATGAACTTTAAAAAAGACAACCTGCTAATAAAAAGTCCCCATGCATTCACTGGGATAAATACTCTAATGGAGAGGAAACCAGGCCCAAAATCTTAAAAAAAGATAAAGTTGAGTCCACTCTCACTTGTGCTCATCTGATCCATTGCTTCTACACTTCGGTGAAACCATGTGCAGAGCTGGATATTTACAAACAATGTGGGACGCAGTCTATACAAAGTTCTATCTGCCTTTGTGCTTGTACATTCTCTGTCACAATGCATAGTCTATCCTTGTAAGCCAAAGTATCTGATACTTAAACATTTAACATTTGATCGTGATCTCCGCTGACAGGGATCTTTAAAAAGCTCAATATGTTTAACATGGTGTTGTGTTTCCGTTAAGTCTCACAGTAAACGGGGAAGTTAAGCAACGTTTGGGGACAAGTCGCTCGGACGTGTTTACGATTGCAGACTCCTAGCACTCACCTTTGCATCATGACTTCAAGCAATATCACTACACAGCGTCCAAATCTCAGCTATCCCAATAGACCCATTTTATTATCATTCACTTAGGTGAAAACACAGATCGAATACATTCCAAACGCAATTGAGCAGCTAAAAGAAATCATCGTTTAAAAAAAAAAAAGGAAAAATTGCACACAGTAGGCCATCCTCATGATGATTCTGTAGGAAGAACATGTGTCCCCTCTCCCATTAACCCCTGCAACTGCAGGGCCTTCCAAATGTTTGGTGTGTGGTAACAAAAGACAGCCACTGAGGATATAAGATCAGTATTTTCATTTGAAACCTGGTAAGGGAAAGAGGAGGATAGTTTAAGGAAACCTTTACTATATAAGTCTAATGTCGACTGATTCACAAAATAGCAGAAAATGCGCCATCTCAAAAGACAGTCATTACTTTTTTTCCTGTTTATTACTATAATAATAATACTAATTTTAGACAGCTTAGAGGTTTACTATCTCCCAAATGGTGCAGGTAATTTACCAACCACTCGGTGGCTGTGTCATAATGTAGCCCTCAGGGGTCAGATATTTTTCAATCTTCTGTAAATAAACTCCCTTGGGAGGCCTTCAGGGGAACCTGACACTCAGCAATTTCTACTCACAGTGGGACCACACTGTGCCATTTTGTGGCCCACTGTGCATACAAGGGCACCGGGCTATACTCTCTACAGGTCAGGTGTCTCGCCAAGGTCTTTGCCTGGATGGGAATAAGCTACTCATGACCCGCAACCTCTGAGCCCTGTTCTCCACTACTGTTTTAAGTCAGTGTCTCCAACATCATATTTATGATTGCAGACTCCTAGCACTCAGCTTTGCAAACACCTAACCCCAGGATATGATGGCATTTATAATTATTTAAGTTCCATCCTACATCGTATATAGAGATGTATATGCAAATCTAAGTTATACACATTATAAAAGTTAACAAAAATATATTTTAAAATGAGAAAATAAAAATCACACAGGAATAAAGATACCAATGAAATAATATTGGACAAGAATGTTATTTTTTTTCATTTATTAATACAAAAACCTTTTAGTATTCCTTTAAAGTATCCCAATTGACTATGTATCAGTAAGTTTTTAAAATGGTGACAGAACACTTTGTAGCACAGCTATGATGGCTAACCAGCTAATTCTATTTTGTTTCAAAGACAACATAGCTGAAAACAAAAACACAATCTGTTCCTTTAGGGAAAGATGCTGTCTAAAATAATCATTTGGAAAACAATTCAAATGATGGCATTTTGACTTAAATTTGAAAATCCGTTTAAGTCATTGTAGCTGTCATGCTACCTCCTACACACAAAAAACCAAACCAAACTCACAGCCATCGGGTTAATGCTGACTCATGGTGACTGACCCCTGTCAGTCCCTGAGACTGTAACTATTTACAGGAGTAGAAAGCCCAATCTTTCTCCTGCAGAGCTGCTGGTGGTTTCGAACTGTCAATCATGCAGATCACAGCCTAACTCCTAACCTAACCACTCAACTGCCAGGGTCGAAACACACGGTCTGTCCTTAAAACATACATGCAGAACATTTGTCCAGAAATGGAGTTTCTCAACCACAAATTGGGTGAAAAGAAACCTCATTCTCATAGATGATGAATTACTTTCAGTCATGTGCCCTCTCAAAAGAATATGCTGAATTAAAACTGATAGGATAAAAAGGGTTATGATCCTCAATAAGCATCCAGTAACCACTAATTCCCTTCTGCATATAAAAGGTTTCTCCTGGGCTCAACCACATACATTTCCCTTTATCCTCTCTTCCTTTAATGAATACTTATAAGCTCTAACAAAATCCTATGAAAACTGAAGGATTATACTGTGCTTTAATTCTTACCTGAAAACATCTCTAACTATAAATACTCAAATGCCTTTTTAAAGAAAGCCACCTCCACCCTATTGAATAGCATTTATAGGAAAACACAATATATGGTTACCAAGGGATTTGGTGGGGAGGAGTGAGGGGAAGGAATGAGCTTTAGTCATTATCATTATAACATATGGTTCACTTGTATTCAGGTATGTAAATTAATGTAATTAATGCTATAGCTTTCATTTCATGAATATTCATAAATAGAATGCTACTGTAGCTGTCATCCCTATTAATGGCTGTGTACTGAAAGTGTAACATTTAGGCTGCAAGAAAATACTCAGCACTCAGAAGCTGGCCTACGTGAGCAAATGAGTCAAAGGAAAAGGCATTTTTTTCTCTAAAGATGATGATCATGATCACGAAGGGGGATACTTAACAAGGTTCATCGTTTTACA